AAAACACAAAGTATCTTGTCTTGAATTTGTAAGGTCTGCTCCGGCTCCTGTTTGCGCTTTTGGTAATTTTTTTTTTTTTTTCTTTAATTTTCTTTTGTGTTCGCTACTAAATTACTAATTTTTATTATGTTTAGGTCCGAGAGAACAATTAAATCAGGTTTCAAGCTTTTTAGACGGTTCGGTTGTTTATGGAAGTAATGAAGAGGTTATGAATAGTTTGAGAACATTCAAAAACGGAGAACTAAAAATGCTTAAAACAAACTTTGGTGAACTTCTTCCGATATCAGAAGATCTTAATGATGGTTGCAACAGAGAAAAAGAATACAAAAATGGAAGATATTGTTTTTTAAGCGGTATTTTATGTTTTATATTAATTTTAAATACATGCCTAACATCGGAGTTTAAAAAATAATAATAATAATAAAATAATATGTATATTTTTATAAAAAAAAGGGGATGGAAGATCAAATGAAAATTTATTATTGACATCAATGCATTTAATTTTTGCTCGACATCATAATATGATTGCTCGAAACCTTAAAGAAATAAATAAGGATTGGGATGATGAAAAAATATTTCAAGAAGCTAGAAAAATAGTCGGAGCTCAAATTCAACACATAACCTACAACGAATTTCTACCAAGTGTTCTACCACAACGTTTAATGGATCATTTAAACATAACGTCAGATTATTCTGGATTTTCAAGAAAATATAATTCTTCAGTTAATCCAACAATATCAAACAGTTTTGCGTCTTCTGCTTTTCGCTTTGGACATACATTGTTACCTGTAAAGAACATTTTTTTTAAAAACTTCAATAAAATTTTTTATTTTTTGTTAACTTATAGAATAATTGTTTACGATAGGGTCTTATACAATATTTACACGAAAATCAAAGTCATGCCGAATACGTCGAACTTCATAAAATGTTATTCAATCCATTTAAATTATATAAAACTAAATTTTTAAATAATTTCATGAGGGGAGCCATGAACACTTCTATTGAAAAAGCCGATGTTTATTTCAATAAGGAAATAACTAAAAAATTATTTAAACAAAAGGAAGAAGAATTGTGCGGATTAGATTTAGTTACATTAAATATACAAAGAGGACGAGATCACGGATTACCATCTTATCCAAATTGGAGAAAAATTTGTGGACTTTCTAAACCGAAATCCTTTAATGATCTCGTTGATGAATTTGATGTCGAAACTTTAATGAAATTGAGATATTTATACAGGTTAATTTAAATAAAAATTTTGCCTTATTATGTAATTATGCTTGTTTGTAAGGAAGCCATATGTCATTAAAAACGACTTTGTAAATAAATACGTATAAAATATTTGCTTACTAAATTTTTTTTTAACTTTTTTTAAAGAGAAGTAGATGATTTAGACTTGTATACGGGTGCATTGGCTGAACATCCGGTTAATGGCGGATTACTCGGTCCAACATTTACATGTCTCATAGCTGATCAATTTTTCCGTTTGAAAATAGGTGATAGATTTTGGTACGAAACAAATGAAAAACCTCAGAGATTCACTTTGGGTAATATATCTGTATTTACTTTTAAGGTATTCAAACTATGCCTAAAAAAAAATTTATCGAATATTAATTTATTTTCAGGTCAATTAAACGAAATAAGGAAGACAACATTGGGTAAAATAATTTGTAAAACATCGGAAGTGAATCAAACGCAGATTTACGTTATGAGAAAAATCGGAACCGGAAACGAATTGAAAAATTGTTCGGATTTTTCTTATCCCGATTTGTCATTATGGCGAAACGTGGTAAATTTTTAATAAATATTTATTAACAACTTAACTATTAATAATATCGATAATGATAATGATTAAAAATGTAATTTTTTTTAATTTTAAAAGGAAATAATTTTTAGAATTAATAACATTTACTTGAATTTTTCTATTTTATGATCTAATCTTATTTAATCGATTAATAAATAAATTATTAATTTTAATTTTTATATTTTGCTATAATTAATTAATTAATTACCTGATAATTAATCAATTTGAACTTTTAATAATATCATTTTCGTTCGATGAATATTTATAAGTTTTTAAATAATTACAATTATTTATTTTTAATATGCACGTCGTAGCACTAGAATAAACTTCGACATCTTTTTTTTTTTTAACAACATCCGACGATTTGAACTAAAAAAATTAATTAATTAATAAAGGGGAGGGGGTGGGAATGGGGGGGTGGGGAGTGTTTTTAAAAATAAAGATGGACGTACCTCGATGAGAAAAAACAAAATTTATTCGAACGTTTTTCTTCGAGACAATACAATCTTTGTTTTAATTCGTTTAATTCTTTTCTCATATCGTCGGCCCACATATGAGTAAAAAAATTCTGACGTTTACAAAAACTTTTCTTTTTATTATTAAATTTCGTTTTTAAATATTCACCTAAAATTTTCTTTATCTGACCAAAAAGTAGGAAATAATTTCCAATTTTTTTAACTCATTCTATTATATACCTTTTTTTTTTTTTTTTTTTTTTTTTCATTTTATTAAAATTTATTTATTATTATTTTCGACGCGAAAATTCATACTTTAGTTATTTTTAAATTGTGCGTCACGAAAACGTTAATAAATAATTTAAAAAAAAAAAAAAATTTTCCCATTTTCCGGTTTTAAATTTACCTGCAGATTTTTTTCCTTGAAATATACGTTCTTGCCTTTTAAGTCCTGTTATTTCAATTTTAGTACACGATGAAGTACACATGGGAGTCTTATTAATAATTTCTGTTTAAAAAAAAATTTATTATTATTATTATTATTAACGTTTTACAATATAAATGAACCGCGGGGGAAGGGGAGAGAGAGAGAGGGAAAAGGGAAACTTACTCGAATCGTCATCTTGATTATTGTAAGTTTTATCATTATTATTTTTTAATTTTTGTTTCATAAAATCTTTACATTTTACATATGATATTTTAGGTCCTTTTTTCATTTCCAATTCCCAATTTGATTGTGATAAATTATTAAAATGTTGCAATTGATCAAATATATTCATTTTTTTATAATTTTCCCCATCGTTTTTCTTATCTGAACAACCCTCGGATTTTAATATTAAAAATGTCGTCGAATTTTCCGGCGTTTCTACTCCTCCTCCTCCTCCTCCTCCTCCTGCATTCCTTTTATTTTTTTCTATTTCATTTTTAAAATATTGAAATAAAACAAAATCCGATTCTTGACTTCCGGCAACGGTTTCGTTACTTTTTTTCTTCTTATATAATTCCGATAAGATTTTCGTCGAATTTTCTTTCAAGCTTATCACGTGATCATCCGTCAATAAAATATTTTCATTTAAAATATCCGCCGTGAAATTTTTCGATTTGTTTTCATTATTTAAATCCTCATATTTATTATTATTATTATTATTATTATTATTATTATTATCATTATTATTATTGACGAGCACGTTATTATTTACATTATCATCATTATTATTATTATTATTATTATTATTGATAATTTTAATAAAATCTTCCGATAGTAATTCTTCTTCTTTCGTTGTCGTGATTTCAAAACTGCTATTTTTCCCACACAAATTCGATGAATTTAAATAATGATAGTGATAATGATAATGCTCGTGATGATGCAAATGTAATTTTTCATTATTATTATCATTATCGTTATCATTCTCATTATTATTTTCTTTTTTATTTTCTTCGTTATTTTCCGTTGTTCGTCCTGGAATTGGATCCGTTACTCTCCTTTTAAAAATTTTCCTTTTTTTTAATACGTCAGCCTTATTTTTTCCATCCGACTCTCTGGGATAATATATTCATCTTTATATTTTTTCCATATTTTTATTATTATTATTATTATTATCATCGTTTAAATTTTCATTTGATTTATTATTATTATTATTATTATTGATATCGATTTCGTCGTTTTGGCTTCCGTAATTATTAAAAAAATTACTATTTTTAGAATTATTTACTATGTCGAATGTTAACACGCTTAGCGTTGACGATTCTCTACTTAATGACGATTTTAACATTGGATAATCTACATAAAAATAATAATAATAATAATAATAATGATAATAATAATAGGCACTCATAAGGTAAACATATATTTTTTATATACTCACAAGATTCGATAAATGGATTTGCTTGTACCAAACGATTTCTTTGTAATAAAACGTTTTTTTTATCCTTTTCTTTATTATTATTTTTAATTAAAGAAGATGACAAAGTTTTTGAATTATCTATAAATTGTTTATAAAAAAAAATAATAATAATAATAATTAAATTGGTGGTAATTGTAATTTAAAAAAAAAAAAAAAACAAAGGGGAAAGGGAATTTACATTACCGGTAAATAATAATTGAGATTTTTCAAATTTTTCATCTGCAGATTCTTCTTGATCCATTTTTTTATTATTATTATTATTATTAATATTATTATAAATAAAATATTTATATTAATACGAAAAGATTTTTAAAGGAATCATTTTATTTTATTTTCAAAACATTTTTTTTATAATTTTTGTTTTTTTTTTATAAAAAAACCGAATTGGATTTTCTCGTGTCATAATAATTAAACAAAAAAATAATTTTTTAAATTTTCATTTTAATATTTTATTATATATATATACATATATATATATATTTTTTTTTAGTAAATTTTAATAAAATAATAATAATAATAATAAAACAGACATTTTTAAAAATCATTTCAAGAACAAAGGAATAATAATAATAATAATAATAATAATAATAATTTTTTTTATTTATGTGAAAAATTGAAAAGGTAAAAAATTATCATTATTATTATTTTTTAATCAATAAAATTTATTTATTGTTTTTTGTAATTAAATAATATTGAAATAATATGGTGAAATGTGACCTTTTTCATTATAATAAATAATTAATTAAGTAAACAAAACGGATAGGTCAACAATTATTATGTGAGCTATCAAAAATCGATTTAACAATAGTAATAATAAATTAATTATTAATTAAAGTAATTAATAAATATCTATTTTTTATTTTTTTTAATATAGAAAAAATATTCTGGGACTGAATGAAATGTGCAAATGTGAGAAAAAAATATAAAAAATTTAAATTTAATTTAATTAATGTTTTTTGTTTAAATAAATTTTTTTTGGTAATTAAATTCATTTTAAATTTTCTTTTTTTTTTTTACATAATCGCGTGGTAACCTTGTATTTTTTATTTTATATCGTTTTCCAATATAAATCGATTATTATATTTTTTTTTATTTTAAAAACATTGAGTCAATTGAAGTAGAAAAAAAAAAAAAAAATTTTTTTTCATTTCAGTTGAGTTTGAAAAGTTATTGAACATCATTAAAATTTTTAAATATGGCTGAAAATATTTATCACACTGTTAAACTTTTCTTGTATTATTCACAAATATTCGGTTTAAATCCGGTTGTTTTAAGAAAAAAAAATTCTGAAAATTATTTTCAAATATTTTGGATCGGTATTTTTTATAGTCTTTCGCTGGCTGCTTTTTTGTGTTTTTCTTTTCAATTTTCCATCGGTAACATCAACATGTTTGCTGATAATGACTCTGATATTATGTTTATGCACACAGTC